ACACACACACACACACACACACACACACACACACCCCATCTAGGACTCTGGCACCTGCCACTGGGAGGCTCCCCCTGGGATCCATGCATGAAGGACTGTGTCATGGGCTGAACTGTGTTCCGCAAAAATCCTCTGCTAAATCCTAACCCTCCAGTATCTCAAAATGCGACTCTGGAGCTGGGGCCTTTAAAGTGATAGTTAAGTTAAAATGAGGTCATTGAGGTGGCCCTGATCCAATGAAGCTGGTATTCTTATAAGAAGAAACACATGAAGACCTGGGAGAAGATACCATGTACCAGCCAAGGGGAGAGGCCTCAGAAGACACCGGCTATCAGCACCTTGAACTTGGACTTGAACTGTGAGCAAATGAAAGCCTGTTCTGTGGCCTAAGCCTCTCCATTCGTGGCACTTTGTATTACTGCAGCATTGATACAGACCCATGTCTCCTCTCACTTTAGAGGACAGCAGGCAGGGAAAAGGCCCAAGACCAGGGTTTGAATCCCAGCTCTGCCATATGCCTTGGTCTTGGGACAGGCACTGACCACATGAGTCTGTGTTCTCATCTGAAAATGGGGGTGACCTTACCCACTTCTGTCCTGCTCACCCCACAGTCTAAGGCTCTGCTTTGTCAAAGCTGAGAATGTCACATACTCCAATGTTCGGGTCACACAGGCAGGTCAGCTGAGGAAGCCGCAGGGAGGGGGAGAGACATTCACATGGCATATACACAGGAACTGACTTTCAGTATGACATTAGGGAGGCTAAAAGTAGAACAGGAAGAACTGAAATGGAATTTTAGAAGAATTTCCTCATTATTAACTTTTCTACTAGCAAAAACACAGTATACAGCCAGGGGTGCTGGTGGCTCACACCTGTAATCCTAGCTACTTAGGAAGCTGACATCTAAGGATTGTGGTTTGAAGCCAGCCTGGGCAAAAAAAATCCATGAGACTCTTATCTCCAATTAACCACCAAAAAGTCAGAAATGGAGCTGTGACTCAAGTGGTAGAGTGTTAGCCTTGAACAGAAAGCTCAGGGACAGTGCCCAGGAACTGAGTTCAAGTCCTAAGACGGGCATGCGCGCACACGCATGTGCACACGTGCACACACACACACACAAACAAACAAAACCAACATACACAGTTGTGTATGAAGAACCTGGGTTCTTCATAAGCCCACGCACCACATGTGTTCACCCCAGGACGTTTGCATTCCCACTACTCAGATTCACTACTGACATCCAAATGGCTCACTCCTCTACCACCTTCTGTCTTTGCCCAACGAAGCTTTCTGGAGCCACCTTATTTAAAGTGTATTATTTAAGGGAGGCAGAGGCAGGAGGATCTGAATTGGAGACCAACCTGGGCTACATAGGGTAACACTGTCTCAAGTGTGACTAGAGGGTGAGAAAGGGGGAGGAGGGAGAGTTGCTTCCAGTGAAATGCCTCAGTTCTTTTTCCTGTTTGATTTTCCTCCTTTGCATATGTATTTTATTTATTATTATTATTTTTTCTTTTGCTGGCCCTGGGCTTGAGCTTGGGCTGGGTGCTGTCCCTGAGTTTCTTTTGCTCAAGACTAGGACTCAACCACTTGAGCCATAGTATCATTTCCAACTTTTTCTGAATAGCTTATGAGAGATACGACTCCCAGGATGGCTTCAAACTTCAATCCTCAGATCTCAGCCTCCTGAGTAGCTAAGATGATAGGCATGAGCCACAGGCACCTTGCTCTCCTTGGCATTTCTGAGCATTTCGCATTTTACTTAATTGTTTGGGATTTGGTTGTCTTCCCCCTGGGCAGCTCAGCTCCAGGCCCAGAGAGCTTTCCGGCTGTGCCGGGCATCCCCAGCACCTGGCAGTCCTGGCGCTGGGGAAGCACAGTGTTTACAGTCTGATAACAAACACGGGCTGGGCTTCCCACAGACCCCCGGGTTTGAGTCAGATGCTCTTTCCCTATTCTCTTGCCAGCAGCCTAAGCAGCTTTCCGGAAGGCGGGGAAAGGTCATTCAAATCACTGGACTTCACTGAGCTGAAGGCAGCACGGAGAGTATCCAAAAGTCCATGCTGGGCTAAGGCCTAGTGGGGGAGACATGGGGGGACAGGGTTGGCAAGGTGTGCCAGGGGCATGTGTTCTAGGTCCCCCATTGGGGACAGAGAGGCCACCTCACTTGGATACCTCCCCAAGCATTCCACCGACCCTAACAGGCTCCCAGGAGCAGGTCTCCTTGCAAATCCTCTAGGCTTCTACGGAGAGCCAAGGAGGGCTGAAGAGCTGAAAACCACAGTGTCTGCTTCCTCCTGAGCACTGACCAGTGATGGGGACAAGTCACAAACAGAGCCCTTGGCACACACTGACAGGATTACCAGGAAGCCGGCTCTCCTGCGGGCAGTGCCAGCTGTATGTCAAGGCTGTGCTGTTCTTCCTGTGGGAAAAGATCATTCCCCTAGGTTTAAAAAGTTCATGGAGGTCTGGGAAGGTGGCTCAGTGGTAGAGCGCTTGCCTTGCATGCCTGAGGCCCTAGATTTGATTCCTCAGCACACATAAGCAGAAAGAAAAAAGCCGGAAGTGGCGCTGTGGCTCAAGTGGTAGAGCGCTAGCCTTGAGCTGAAGAGCTGAGGGACAGCGCCCAGGCCCAGAGTTCAGGCCCCACGACCAGAAAAAAAAAAAAAAAAGTTAATGGAGCCCCATTCCCCACAGACTAGAAGGAACGCCTCTGTACACCTGTGGGCGGGGATGGGCTAAGGACACCACAGACCCAGCTGCCAGCCACATGTTAACAAGCTGGCCATATTGGGGAAACTACAAGGGGAGGCATGGTAACCAAATTACCCACTTGGTGTATTTAAAAATGTGAGACAGTACATGCACATGTGCATGTGCACGCATGTGCACAGGCACACCCACACACATAGAAAAATACCTTACTCAGTAAACAGCAACCTCAAAAAAAAATCTACTTTTGAGAGAGAAAATTAACCAGAGGCTGATAAAATCATTGTTAAAATCTAACTTCATTTGTGATCTCCAGAACTGTGGGGAATCAGCCTTTAAAAGCCAAATGTCAACAGGATATAGTGGTGCATGCCTATAATCCTAGCACTCAGGAGGCTGAGGCAGAGGACTGATGCCACATCGGAATTAATCCACCTGCCAGGAATTGCTAACTAACTAAACCCAAACCCTGAACAAAAGCCAGAGAGCCCTCCAGTTCAGACTAAAGATGACCTAAGGAGGTCTCAGTAATCTAAGACACTTGGAGGACAGAAGTCAGAGCCCAGGCCTGGAGTGAAGACAACATTCGAAGACTCAGCAGCTGGTAGGCAGCAGAGATGGCATTTCACACTTTTGCAAGTTCTCATGCCACCACTGATCTCAAACAGCTATTTCATCTTAGTATTTTCAGAGTTGATTCCCTACGCTCTGGAGAGTTTGAGGTCTCCTGTAGTTGGAGGAGTTCTCTTCCCTGTATGTACGGACAGAGCCCCAACATGTCCCCCACCCCCCCCCTCCTTCCTGCACTATGATGCTCAGCTTCGGAAATCATGATTCCCCAAGCCCTGGAGCTGTCACTAGCTCCATCAGTTCAGTTGGCACAGAATGGCTCTCTGCAACAAGGAAAGAGGTGGCTTCTCTTTCTGTAGGCTCCCCAGAGCCCTGGGACCACCACAGGACCAGCTCTTGGCAGAAAACCAAACTTCCCTGGGTCTGATCTCATTTCCCCTATTAGAAGGCATTGCCATTTCCTTGTTATGTAACCTAGTGACATTTCCAGGCCACAAAAACCATGAAAAAGGCAAACTGGAGCCATAGCAGCTACTCCCCACCACTGCACTATTCCACTGTGGGCCATGGTGTCCTATCAGCCAAAGGTGCTGTCACCCACCTTCTCACACATGGCTCTGCACACAGCACAGGCTGATCTGGGTTCCCTGTTCAAGTGTTTGGAGGGGCCATGGGCACAGGGAGTGCTGGCACCAACCTTCCCAAGAACGAACTTCAAACTT